AAGACAGAAAAGAAGACCAAGTGGTGGAAGTTGCAAAAGAAAGAATATCATGAGGAATTCAGACAGAAGTTGACACAGGCTTTGGGTGGTCAGGAAGAACTTCCAGATGACTGGGAAACTACAGCAGAAGTGATCAGGGAAACAGGTAGGAAGGTGCTAGGTGTGTCATCTGGAAGGAGGAAAGAAGATAAGGAAACGTGGTGGTGGAACGAGGAAGTACAGGACAGCAATCAGAGGAAGAGGCTAGCTAAAAGGAAGTGGGAGGTAGAAAGGACGGAAGACAGTAGACAGACAGGACTACAAAAGATTGCAGCGTAGGTTTGTCTGTGTGAAACTTTTTCATTTGAAGAAACTGTAACTTAACAATGACAACAGCCACAGTGACGTCAGACTGACTTTACTGCTGCGTAACAGGATTAATGGAGACGTCTGCAGGGTGGTTGTTGTTCATCTTGGCTCACAAGCTACTTTCATGTGTTATTATGTTGTTTTTAACGTGGATATGGATTCCCAAACATCGGTTACAGATCACCTCTGGCTGCATCCTGTAAAGTCAGATGCTGCGTCCTGACGTGCACCAGCACTGTTTGACCACATTTATATCTTATAGCCACATACTGAGGATGAGTTTATTTATTTCAAATGAATCTTTATAAAACACAATAAATGATTCAGAGTGAATTCCAGCAGATCAGTTGTAGATTTTGCATAATTGCTGATGCACCTGCGACAGAGATAAGAGGTGGTCTGAGCAGGTGTTGTCACTATTTCATGTCAAAATAAGCACCAAAATCAAAATCTGGAAGACTTATTGTCATTACAAGCTGAGCTAATAACAAAATTAGGAGAGCTACTCCAATCGATGCAAGACATTAAGTAAAAAAATAATAAAACTAAGTTGCATAAGATAATAAATAGTGTTGTTGTATTTCACCTGGTATCTGAATGCCTTTGAACAGTAACAGAGAAGTCTCTTCAGTGCACATTGGAATTTATAGTGCATGTGGCTTTTGTGGAAGAAACTGTCTCTGAGTCTGTATATACTGTATGAATGTGTTCTGGCAGAGCTATACTGTCTGCCAGAAGGTAACAGTTCAAAGAGGTGGTGTCCAGGGTGAGCTGGGTCCTCTACTGTGTTGCCTAATCAGCATACACACGGCCTCAACTGCACCTCTCCTCCCACCTCAGTGGAAATGCATTCATTCATGGCAGCAAAATACCAAACATAACAATGTGCAACAAAAAGTAAACATGTCCTCAAAGAAAATTGCAGAAGGACTGCATTTGGAGCAAAGCAGAAATTGCACTGGCAGGAAAATAGAGCCAATAGAAGTCACTGAAAATGATAGAGACAGACGAGAAAAGTGAATAACACTGGTCCAGAAGAGAAGATGAAAGCCGGTCCACTCATCAGTAATGGAAGAGAGAACATTTGCCTGTTTCATGATCAAGTGATATAGGCCAATGTTGTGTGTAAATCATATCAATTTCTCTTAAATTTAAAAGTCAAGTTTTATGCAACTGATGAGCAAGATGATTAAGCATTATGTAAAAAGTGCCATCGAAATATACTGTTTCCCTAAAAGCATAATGTTTTAGCACTTTTCATTTCATTACTTTGCTTTACTTGTCCACAACTTTAGCATTTGGGTTCAGTCTGAACACTCTCATTTTTTTCAGTAGCAGCAGTCACACAGAACTCCAAACATGGACAGAACAGAATTAGACACCTTTTCAAAATCATTCGAAATAGTTGTATTTCAAGCATGTAATGCTCCTTTAATTTGTAATGAAACTCACCTGTAGCAAACAGCATAGAAATCATGTGTAATGGTTTGGCACCATCTTATTTCACTGAATTAGTGCATTGGCACAGTCCTACAAGGTCCCTCAGATCTTCAAGCCAGTTTCTTTTAGAGGTTCCTATGGCCAGATATAATTGCTGGGGTGATCATGCTTCTACTGTCGCAGCCCCTAAATTGTGGAATAGTCTACCTTTTAATGTTAGGTCAGCTACTGACCTCAGTACTTTTAAATCCTTGCTTATTTTATAACATATTTATTTGTCTTGGCTTTTAATGCACAGTAGGGCCTGATGCATTCCTTTTAATCTAATTTATTGAATGTGTCATCTGTGTCTGACTTATTGTTTTATTTTTGCACTGAACCTATTTATTGTATCTTAGTTATTTATCTGATTTTATTCTGTCCTTATTAAATTACTTTGGTCAACTGGATGTTGTTCTTAAAGTGCAATATAAATAAATTTGATCTGATTTGATTTGAAATCACACTTGGACCCAGTTAAAATGGAGAAAGGTTGACTCAACCTTTGTGTCATGTGGACCACACTGAGCACAGAGAAAAGAAAGAAGAGCAAAGAATTGTCTGAGGATCTGAGAACCACCATAGTGGAAAAGCCTGGACAGTCTCAAGGCTACAAGTCCATCTCCAGAGATCTGGCTGTTCCTGTGTCCACTATGTGGAACATTGTCAAGAGGTTTACAGCCCATGGCACTGAAACTAATCTCCCTGGACGTGGACGAAAGAGAAAAATAGATGACATATTGCAATAAAGGATTGTCCCAATGGTGGATAAAGAACCTTGACCAACTTCCAAACAAATCCAAGCTGACCTGCAGGCACAGGGTGCAACTCTGTCGGCTCACACTATCTGTCACCATCTGGATGTCAAGGGACACTATGGTAGGAGACCCAGGGGACCCCACTGCTGACACAAAGGCATAAAAAAGCCAGATTGGAGTTTGCCAAAACATACCAGAGGAAGCCACAGTCCTTCCACAGGGCTGCGGGGGTGCTGGAACCAATCCCAACTGACACTGGGCAAGAGGCAGGGCACACCCTGGACAAGTTGCCAGTCTATCACTGGGCTGACATCTAGACAAACAATGACACACACTCACATTCACTATAGGAGCAATTTAGAGTCAGCAATCAACCTAAGCTGCATGTCTTTGGACTGTGGGAGGAAGCCAGACAACCCACGCGGGCACGGGGAGAGCATGCATACTCCACACAGAAAGACATCAGGTCGGCCGGGGTTCAAACCCAGAACCTTGTTGTTGTGAGATGACAGCACTAACCACTGCCCTACTATGCCACCTGACAAAACGCAGTTAAGAAAATGGAGAAACCAAGACTTTAGTATATAAATGTATCCAATGCTCAGTGTATGCTTATAAGTTAAACCTGCTCTTCATTAAACAAATTCAGGCAGTGAAAGTGAACACCATATGCTCACATAGTACAAAGCAAAAATAATCTGCTTATTTTACAAGACAAACAAAATAAATGTCTTAGTTTAATACATACATTGAGACCAATCACACTTTTTAAATGTCTGAGTCCACCTACTGAGATGAAAGTGGACTGTGCCTTTGAAATAGCTGCCCTCAGATCTAATACCCTCTGAATGAGATCTGAACCCACACTGACAGCTTTTAAATCCCAGTTAAAAACCTATTTATTTACCTTGGCTTTTTAATCAAAGTGAGAAGCTTGTATGTGTCGGATTTTGTTTTTACCTTTTTTCTTTTTAACTTTTGGTAGTGTTGTTGTCTGTGAAGCATGTTGGTCAACTGATGTTGTTTTCAAATGTGCTTATAAATAAATTTGACTTGACCCACTGAATTAAAAAAAGAACAAACAAATAAAAGAAAATGAAAACCATAAACCACATTCAGGCAGTTGGTCTACCTATTACAAATTCAATCGTATCTTTTACAAAGCAAACATAAAATATACGTACTTATTTTACAAGGTTAATAGTGTTTCGTTTTAGTACATGGCTCATTTTGATTTGATGGGTTAAGAAGATCCTAAGAACATTCATTCTGCTTTTTAACAGATGAGATGGTTTATGATTAGGTTTATTAATTGATTGTCCAGCTATTCCTTTCTTTGAATAATGTGCATTTACATTAATAGTGGTAATGTTAATTATGCACATTTAACAATTTAATGTATTTTGTTAGGTATGCTGTTCACTCAAACACCTCCCTCAGTGGTTATAGTTAGGATGAGATTAGATTCAGGTTATGGGGAAACGGATTTCAACACAAGAGGTGCAAGATTAGCTTCATTTTCACTTGGCGGTGTGAGACTTGTAAAGTGTTGTAATGAATGAGCATGTGTACAGTAGTTTATCTTTAGTGTGCGGTGTTAAAATTGTAATCTGGCTAATAATTCCCATCTTTAGTACAAGTATCAGTAATCTGATTCCCTCTTTTTTCTCTGTAACTTTATCCTAAATACAATGCAGCATGATGGAGCACCATTCAATACAACCCCAACAACACAGGTGACAGTCATGTCATATGAAGGGCCATTAGTTTACAGTTCACGTGAGTCCATTTCACAGTATTACTGCTTGGGGGAACCGCCAGTCTGGTTGTCCCAGCAGGTGAAGGGCTGGATGCAACCGATTTTTGATGATGCGGTGAGTGCAGTGTAAGGAGTGGGAGGTATGGATAGAAGAGATATCTGCTAGCTGAGGCCCAATGATTTTCTCAGCAGCCTTTACTACTCGTTGCAGAGGCCCGCTGCTCCGCCTTAGTGCAGGTTGTGTACCAAACTTTCAAACAGTATGTTAAAACACTATAAATTGCACACTGGCAGATTACTGTAATAAGGAAATATTT